TATTAAATACATACGAGTACATTTTAAAAAATTTCTTAAATATTTTTATGTGCGAGATTAGTAAAACTTATACACAATTTTATTACCCACCACTATAATAATGGTAATGTGAAAAATGTTTGTACTCAAAATAATTTTGAGTACCAATATTTTTCACAAATTATAACTTTCCAAAATATCCATTTTACGCGTCATAATTAAAAAAATTATTTTACTATAGAAATATAGCTTTGACTAAATTTCTAAATTTCTAAAATCAAAAAAAAATGATATAGGAGGTAGTACCAAATTTTTTTTTGAATTTTTGAAAAAATATTTGGAAAATTTGTATAACTAAGGTAATTAAAAACTAAAAAATTTTACTTATTTTCAAATCATTATACTTTTAATAAGTGAAGTTTAATAGTTTTAAATTATACGTACTAATATTATGACACTTAGTGAAATTAGCCATTGTAAATCGAGATTTACTTTTTTGCTAAAGTAGTATGATATTAATTAAATTTCTTAATAAGAATTTTAATATTTCGTGTTGTGTTGATAAGATTTAAAATAGGAGTGAAAGAAAATCAACAACTAACAGAATTACAAAATAAAAATCATCTATTATAAGCCAGCACTATTAAACAACAATTTAATTCAACAACGAATGTATTCAATAATTTAAAGTTTTGTTTAGAATACCTTACTCGCTACTATCATTCATATAGAAGGTTTAAACTGTTTAGGTACGTACCAACATAAGGGACATCATTGTGGTAGGAGTGAGGGATGATATGTGAGACACTTAGGACAATAGTCCCAATTGGTCTGATAAATTATCTACACTCCTAACCAATTTATCTCACCAGTTACCACGTCCTGTGCCAGAAGTCTCAAGAAACCAGCGTACACATTCTAATTGGAGGCCCGTTAAAATAAAATTTGTTCAACTTAACATTTATATATTGATATATATATATTGATATAATTAAAATATATTGATCTACTAGAAAACTTGAAAGAAATTAAATTTATGTATTTTAATTAATAGGTAAATTAAAAATAACTAAATAGACAATTTTAAATTTTAGATTTAGGAGTTTTGTTGCATTGCATCCTTTACACATCCGTTAATCTGGCACTGACCGTATCACTATAATATAGTCTATATGATTTAATTCCTCATATCAAGTTATAATTGTTTAAAATTTAAAATTTTATATTTACAAATTAATAATTACAATATTCTAAAATAATAAAGTCAGATTTTGTAAATATTTAATGTTATAACCTAACACTCGTGTTCCAATTTAGTTAGAATTTCTAACTAAAATTAAAATTTTTTATTTTTCACAATTTATTATTTTTATATAATTGACGTTTATGTGAACATATACACAGTTTATGCAATTAATGCTGCTGTAACCACTGTTTCTACAATTGAAATATAATTGAAAACTTAACTAATTATTTTTTAAATGGTTTTAAAAAGCTTAGGTAAAGAAAAAACATTCCTCCTGATTAGTTAAGAATCCTTTAAATTTAATTTAGAAAATAATTTTACTTTAGAAAAAGCCTCGTAAACTCTATTTTGGTCTCTGATTTATAATTATTTATTTATATATCCTCTGTGCACCCCTCCCCATCAACACTGGTCCAAGTTGTCAATAGTGGTGTGTTTTTCATGAGCTAGTCGATTTAAAGTGTTGACTCGTAAAGACGAGTCGAATTATTTGTCTTAGTACGACCTAAGTTAGCAAGTCGCATGACTCTGTGTTCCCAAATTGAATCTTAAATGGTTCTCTGCACTTAAACCACAGTTTAAGTTGTGGATTAAACTAAATAAATCTTCATTACTTTAGAATTTATAAGTGAGTTGGAGTTGGTTTGATGATTCGACTCGTTTAAGTGAACCAGTGCTGATTAAGGATAATTTTTCTAGGGTGGGTGGAATCTGTACAATTGATTTTGACGTATAAACGTCAAAACGTTCATCATTCTAAAAACAAAAATATTTTAAACAATACGAAACTCGAACATTCATAATACAGAAAATGTATAGTATAGAACTGTTTTTATTGTAATTACAAAAAATTGAGCACCTTATTTGCTGGAAACACATGATAGTGAAGCAGTGGCGTAGTCAATCGGGGGCTAATGGGGTTATAGCTCCCCTTTATTGTTCGTGTTTATGTGTATATACTAAACTAGTCTTCTACCATTTGGTATTTAAATATTTTCAAAACTTTGGTATTAACTGAATTTTAACAAATAACGGGTGTTTGTTATACATACATAAGCATATGACTTCTACTGTTATTACTATGTAATATCATTGATTATAAATAATAACTATAAATAGTATTTATATTCAATGGTAATATATTTTTGATGAATAAAACATAAATGCCGTAGCGATTCTCGTATAACACTCGCATTTTATAATCGATATATTTTTTATACCGCGTTATGTCTTGCCAATGCTACAGCAGCTGACCACTATTAATTCATTATTATTATTAATTTTATTTTAATAAATATTATTAAAACTTTTTTAACAGGTTGGAATTACATTTTTAAATTTGGTGGTGGGGAGGTTTACGGGTGAACTCTCGAAGCATATCTTACTTAGTCTACCCAAAAAAAAAATGTTTAGCCTCTTCCGTTTAAAAATTCCGGTTACGCCATTTTAGGTGATTACCTTATGGGGGAGTGGCTAAGGGGGCTGTGGCCCCCTCCCCCGAAATTTTAAGAAAAATATATTGGTGGTCTATGAAAATCGCTAAAAAAGTAAAATTTTTTAAAAATTTTAGTATTAACACTTTACAGCCATCTATCTGTGGTAGTAGATATTTAATGCATATAATATTGTGCATGGGTCACGAATCACGAATTCAACTTCAGAATCAAGACTTGTCGAACTCGCATTATTATCTATTCATAGAGACATTGAAATTTCAGATGATCGAATGAATATTTGATACACTTGTTAACAGCAGAAATGCTTAAAGGTTAAAATAGTCATTTAAATCTATTGTCATTTAATAATAAAATTAATAAAAATGTTAAAAAGTAATTAAATAGGTATTGTTAATGATTTTTATACAGCATATTATATTTATGTTTATATTGTAGGGGTTTGTTTTATTATATAAAATGTTAGTCTATTATGTCCAAGTAAAAAAAAATTCATTGCTATTTTTATTATTTTTTTTTTTTTTTTAGTAAGTAATACTTGTAAAATAATTTATTTTATATTACTATAAAATACAATATCCTAAGTATTTAAAGTATACAAGAATATTATTAAATCAATATATGTTAAGGGTTATAGGAACCACAATCTAAAATAAAACTTTGGCATCCACATGTTAAACTTATGGAAGAACCAATCTAAACCACCCAGTGACGGACTGGCCCATGTGGAGAGTGGGAGAAATACACCGGGACCGCTGTCGTGAGAGGCCCCTTTGTCATGGTGCACTTTTAATAAAAATGTATTATATTTTTATTTTTTTTTAAATATGTGACTTTATTTTGAAATTATTACAATCTATACGTATGTATACAATATGCAATATTTAAAGCGGGTAAGAGAACTGGGAATGATAGTGACATTATAGGAAGTCTCACATTAGAGATACCTAGTGGCTTTAAATTTAGTCTTAGTAGTTACCATACACTTATTACAATTTTCATAGTTTATACAATTTTTAGAGTTTATAGATTTACCAAGTTTCTACACCAGTTTTTTAACTTTTTATTTAGTTCGTATAAAAAACAAGTATAAAATAGTATATAATTTTATGGTTTTGTGTTCAGAGAGTAATGTTTTAGAGGCAATTATTACCCATGACATAATTAAATGGTTTGCTTCCCAAAAAGAAAGAAAAAATTATTTATATAAATAACATTTTTATTTTTTGTATTAAATTTATTATTATTAATTTATTAAAAATTATGTGAGGGTCATTAATATTTTGATTATGGTTATGGGCCTCTAAAATTGTTTGGCCCCGGGCCCCAAATTATCATAATCCGGGCTTGGCTAATCATAAGCGACATAAGCGGAAATCCACTTAGTACTCTGGGGGTGCTCAAGTCCCTCCAAAATTAACTTATCAGTAACCCGTGGGCGGCTTTGAAACTCACACTCTCTATAAATCTTAAATCCTCTGCCAAATCTTTAAAACAAATATCAAAATGAACAGAAACAAATTCATGAAAATAAAAATGTCCTCATTTAATAATAATAGATACATAATATAATCAAGACTTTTATTAAATAATAGTAGGTTGAAACAGCACAAATGCTTAATGATGACTATATCATTAGTTATCTGAAAAATAATAATGATAATAATAAATATTTGTCTCAGTAATATCTAAATATAGACATAAAAGATTTTAAGTATTAAAAACGATATAATATAATATTATGAATTATGATAAGTATAATTTATTTCTAGAATATATTGGCGGTGGTAAACACCCTGTTAAGAGATTTTAGCCTATGATGAGCGAGCATAGTGAGCTGCAAATTTTTTAATCATATAAAAAATATGTGGGCCGCTCAAATCTTCTCCACCCAGGCTGAAGTACTCTCAGTCCGCCCCTGAAACCACCGCTGTGTAAAAATTGAATAGTCCCCCCCCCCCCCCCCCCAAGAAAAAAGAAAAATTCTGGCTATGCCACTGAGTCATAACAATGACATTTTACACGTAATCAGAGCTGCCGCAAAACACTAAAAGAAAAAAATCCCCCCGAGGTGGTAACCAAAATCACCTTTTGGCTGAATGCCTCCCACTCAAATACGCCACTGAAGTAAACCGAATCGTTTGTCGATTTCTTTATAATTCTCAATTTAGAATTAAATGTTCCACCGCTGAAATGTTACCGTGGCTAGTCGGACTCGGCAGCAAACATATGGCCGCGAACACTTTGATAACGGTCCGTTAACAGTTACCACGAAACTGATAACGTTACGTGCACCGATAACAGAGCTGATAACCAATAATAATATTATTTTCAAAGCGAGGCCAACGACTATGCACAACTAGTAGGCCGACGAACGCGACTGCATAGCTGAACGCGGAAGTGTTCAAAGTTCAGTTTGGCAACACGTCAGGTTCCCGTTCGTTACATTTGTGCACCGTCGTCGACAAGGTGATTTCTGTACGTTTTTGAAAATCTTTGAAGACCCCACATTAATACAATGATGACGATGATGATGGCTACAACGTCAAATCTATTGTGTATGTACGGTTTGATTTTCGAGGCCAGTAAAAACTGCGCAAGATCATTTTTTTAAAAGGATTGTGGGACCATGTTTGAATCATTTGTTTTCTTTTTAATATATTGGTTGTTTTTATGTTAAGATTTTAACCGAACCCTTGCATAATTGTTTGTTCAATTCAATTTCATGCAACATAAAAGTTTAGCTTATTAAACTTTCGTACCATATCGTACTGATCTCATGATAAAGTAATCATAAATTTGTAATGTTATATAATATGTGAAAAATCTAATAACTTTTGTTATCCTTAATTAAATAATACATTAGTTATGTGTTTAAAAATATAATTATATTAAATATATGTCATCTATATTCTAGAGTTTTCAAACACAAGTAGTAATTTTATTTAAAATTATGAAAATTAATTAATACATTTTTCTATTCATTCGTTTCTTCATGTTTTATATTATTTTTAGTTCGAAAATTGGGAACATCATGTTTACGTCTCTATTCAGCCTCTTCAAAAAAAATAACTACTCATTACACTATACATCCACGAGAAACTGATCAAAGATGGAAAGGTAAAATAAATACAGTTTATTTAAGTAATTTGCTTACAATTTTATTCAATATATATTTTAAAACAGATATACCAATGGAACGTTATGAAGATGTAGCTGATGTTGTAATTGTTGGCGGTGGGCCAGCTGGTTTATCAGCTGCAATTAAGTTAAAGAAATTAGCCACAGAAAATAATAAAGAACTTAGAGTTTGTGTGGTGGAAAAAGCTCCAGAAGTTGGTAAGAAAAGAATTTTTTTTCATTAAATATTTAATAATATAGTTCAACAAAAAATTTATATTAATTTTATAAGTTAAAAAGAATTAATAATGGTTTGAAATTCCTTTTGTTAATTTAAAAGCATATTTAGAAAAACTCAATATTTTGAGATTTTTAATTATCTATCCTCTGTTTTCATAAAGTCTTGACAACAAAAAACTATTGTAATATTAAACATTAATACAATTATTAAATTAATTGTTAATATTAATAATTGTTGATTGTATTTTTTTAGGTGGTCATATTTTATCAGGTGCTGTGGTAGATCCAATCGCCTTAAATGAACTGTTTCCAGACTGGAAAGATTTGGGTGCACCATTAACTACTCCTGTCAAAGATGACAAATTTAGTTATCTAACTAAAAGTAGTCGTATACCTATTCCAATTTTACCTGGTATTAATTATTAGTTATATGATTAATTATATTTCAATTTATATATGTTATAAATAGTATTACTAATTTTAAAAATGTATGTTGAATAGGTATGCCAATGGATAATCATGGAAATTATATTGTAAGATTAGGACATTTAGTAAAATGGCTTGGTGAACAAGCTGAATCCTTGGGAGTTGAAGTTTACTCAGGATATCCAGCTTCAGAAGTACTTTATCATGAGGATGGTTCAGTAAAAGGGGTTTCTACTGGTGATGTTGGAATTGCCAAAGATGGATCTCCTAAAGTAATTTATTATAGCCTAGTCTTAGAAATGTTTAAATTTAGTATTATAAAATATAATTTAATATTCTATTTATAGGACAGTTTTGAACGGGGAATGGAATTACATGCTAAAGTTACTATATTCGCTGAAGGCTGCCATGGTCATTTAACTAAACAGTTATTCAAAAAGTTTAATTTACGTGAAAACTGTGCACCACAATCATATGGTCTTGGTATTAAAGAAATATGGGAAGTTAACCCTGAAATCCACAGTCCTGGAAAAGTAGAACATACTGTTGGGTGGCCATTAGTAAGTTTTCTTTATTTCGATCTTGGTTTAACTAAAAATTGAGCTGGTGAAATAGATTTTAATGAATCTTGAAATTGCAAAAGAATTATAACGTATGTAATAATTAACTCCATCATCTATGAATTTATAATTTCATAAAAAATTAGAGATTTATTTCAGTTACACATAAAACATACTTACTGAAGCAACAAGTGAAGGCTTAATTACAAAAAATCCTTTAATTGAAAATTGTAGTTGCCTCTTTAATAACTGTTGTGAGAATAGATATAACTAAAATTAAAGTATGCATAGTTATTATTACTTAGATATAATTCAATACACAAATTGTATTGTTTTACTTCATCTTCAATGTCTTGTTTTTGTCCTATATCCAACAGCGTATGGACTGTGTGTGTTATTTGAACTCCCTAAAATTATAAATATTCCATACGTTAAGACATTTTTTAAATTTAAATAGAGATGATTCTTACGCACTATAAAATTATATTATTTATTAGATTTTATACTGTTTAATAATAAATAATAATGTTGATCTTATTTAAATAAGTTTATAATAAAAATATATAATAATAATAATAAGAGGATGAGTGGAATAGCTGGTCAAGAGAACGGAACTCAGACATACAGTAAAATGCTAAAATTATTCTGACTATTACACCATTGACTGATATAAATACTGTATGCTGAATATAAGAAGGAAAATTACTTTTTATGTTGTATAAATGTACCAGAATTAATCTTGCTACACTGTCAGAAAAACAGAAAATGGTATAGTTTCGACACAAGCATTGGCCTTTTATACTTACTGTAAGCCAGTAACGGCATACCCTCACATCACATGATGGGTAAATTGTTGCGATGACTTATTACACCATTTACAAATTTTTTTTAATAGCTGAATGAAATAATTTTCATAATTTTAAGAAAATAATTATTATGATATGAAAATTGTATTAATATAATACAAAGATAACTTTAATGAATATAATAATAATAATAATAATAATAATAAGATAATATAATAAATATACATTATATATGGAACACATACTTTTTCAATGGTATTGCTTGTACATTTTACTAGATGAATAACTGGCCATATTGTAAAAATAATAACTGACAATGTAAATATTTGAGACCATTTGTGAGAAGTATTTCTTTCATCAGCAACTAGCGCTGTCACAATATTATAATGAACTGGTAGCACATTAAAAAATATAACCCTGGGTATCAGAACTAGTAGTTGAATATTATAATATGTACAAACTTCTATAAATGATATGTATGTGAATAAATGCATACGATTTAATATTGTTATTTCTTTTGGCCTAATAGTATACCAGTGTATCCAATAAAAACCTGTTGATTTTTCTTTGCATGCTTCTAGTATGTTTTTTATATAGTTAAATCTGCTTGATATTTGATTCAATTTAACATTGATTTGAAATATAAGTAGCCAAACTGTAGGTATACAAATAATTTCAGTAAAATCAACTGATGGAAAATCATTTTCTGTTAATGCTAGATGATAAAATACTACATAACTGGTTGTCGTTATGATAATAAGCAACATTTGTTTATAAGTGATAAATGTACTAACACTGTCGTTGTAACTCAGCTCTATATTTTGAGATAAGAAATCTATGTAGGCAATATTTTTTGTAAAACTGGTATTTATGTCATGGCCCATATAGATATTAAAAAAACATACTATAATCAATATTATGTTCAATGTAACATAGGTAATGTACAAAAGTATACTAATTCTTGAATCTTCATTTTTGGATGTGATCCATGTTAATTTCCAGTAGTAATAGACGAGAAGTGCTAGTATAATTACTGTAAATACAATTTTGAATAGAATCTTAAAATACTTGTTTCTAAACAAATCATCATGAACATTTTTTGAAAATTCTTTTGTATTTTCTGTAACCATTTTAAAAATGTAACCTGAGATTTCGTTACTATAAATAACTTCAAAATTTAAATTTATACATTTTTAATAAATCATTTAACTTAATGTATTATTATTTTTCAAGTTTAACTTTTTGATAAATTCAATGATTTAAGAGTAACACATTTTTTAAATGAATTTAAACAAAAAAAAAAAAAATGTATAGTTTTTTGTTTAAAAATTATAACATAATACTTTAAATGAAAATGTAAAAAATGAAACTAATTTTTGTGTTATACATTTAAGTAAAAAAATTAAAATATTAGAAAGTTAGTAAATATTTCTTAATAATAAATGTCTCCTAAAAAATCACTCCATATAATGTAGATATTATGTTTGTATAGTTGGAGTGAGTTGAATTTCCTTTTAGATTTATGTTTGTATGCTTGAATTATAGTAATAGTATTGGTAAATATTTATAAATGTCAACAAACACAGACATTATATATTATTCATACATTGTACTTATAATATATGTACATGTTTTGTACTATTCAAATATATTTATTTTAAAATAAATGTTTTAAAACTATTTGACATAATAATCAATAATAAATTATTAGTAGTTATTTTTATATAATAGAATAAGAAAATAAAACAATTGTGTTAAAATTGATAATAGTAATTCCAAAAATGATTATTCATTAGTTATTGGTTGATTATTTGTCAACTTTAAATACTTAACCTATAAAAGAAAAATTTAAAAAAATTTGCTTTGTAAATGGATATTAAATATACATTTTATTAATAAATAAATTAGTATTAGGTCTTTACCTATTTTTTTCTTGTGATGGTATTAATTTATTGGATTTATCTGAATGATTAAACAATATAATTATAATAATATTTAAAACAATGACATTTGGGTTTACAAATAAATTATTGATTTATTTATAAGATATCATTATCTATACTGCATAAATAATTTATTACATATATTATATAATATATAATATATGTAATAAATTATATATTATATACTTTTTTTATATAAAATCAATTTTTAAATTGAGGAAATAAAATTACTATCATTATTTACAGGACATAAATACTTATGGAGGCTCATTTGTTTATCATCTAAACGAACCTACTCCACTCATTGCTGTTGGTTTTGTTGTAGGACTTGATTATAGTAATCCATATTTAAGTCCTTTTAGAGAGTTTCAACGTTTTAAACATCACCCTCATGTTCAACCATTGTTTGAAAACGGCAAAAGGTAAATAAATATTAAATACTACATTTAATTAGATTATTAATTACTGATAATATTATGTTTTTGTAATAGAATTGCATATGGTGCTAGAGCTCTTAATGAAGGTGGTTTTCAATCCATTCCGAAACTTTCTTTTCCCGGCGGTGCTTTAATTGGTTGTACTGCAGGATTTTTGAATGTACCTAAAATCAAAGGTACCCATTATGCAATGAAATCTGGTATGCTTGCTGCTGAATCAACTTTTGACACCATATTTAGTTCATCTGAAACAAGCGAAACTGCTGGTAAAGAAATATTTCTATAGTTTATCATTTTTTAAGTACATTATTTATGTTTGTAAAGTCACACTTATAAAATATTTCTTCAGTCAAAAACAATTATTTTGTGAAAATTGTTAGGATAATTTCTCAGTACACATGTATAAATTATAAATGTTTTTATATCTGTGTTTCTCTAATGCAGTGGTTCTCAATCTTTTTAGGACCGCGACCCAAATTTTTTTCCAAAAATCTATCACCACCCCATAGTTTTACATTTACAGAATCAATAAAAATAATTTCAAAAAACAAATTTATTCTATTTTATTTCTTATTTACTACTTTATAATAATAATAATATAATATTTGCTTGTTTCTTATAATCTATATAATTAAAAAAAACTTCTCGTGGCCCCCCCCAAAAATTGACTCGCGACCCCCTAGGGGGTCGCGACCCACAGTTTGAGAAACACTGCTCTAATGAATTATCAAAAATGTATCGAGAATCGGTGACTAAAGAAGTTACTATTGTATTAAAATAATAATATTTTATTAATTTTTACAGGCTTAGAACCAAAAGATTATGAAGAAAAAGTTAAAAGTAGTTGGATATGGTCAGACTTGAAAGAAGTACGGAATGTTCGACCATCATTCCATACTAAACTTGGACTGTTTGGTGGTATGGCATATTCTGGATTTACACTTGCAATTAAAGGAAAAGAACCTTGGACCCTTAGTCATGGAGGTATATATACAAATATTATTCCTTATTTAACATTAAATTTAAACATTAAATAAATATCTTCTGTAATTTAGTTCCTGATAATGAGAGACTGAAAAAAAAAACTGAAGTTTCTGTAATTGAATATCCAAAACCAGATGGAAAAATAAGTTTTGATATATTATCTTCTGTTGCATTAACTGGCACAAACCACGAAGGAGACCAACCTGCTCATTTGACATTATTAGATGATTCAGTTCCTGTAAATACTAATTTAAATCTGTATGATGGTCCTGAAGGTAGATTTTGTCCTGCAGGTAAGACTATTTTTTTTACAAAAATTCACTTATATTAGGAATTATCAAAAGTGATTATCGTTTTAGTACTTTGTAATTTAATAACAATAATACTACTCTACTGAGCAAACTGAAAATTCTTATGGTGTAGAACATTTACTCTTAGTAGTTGTACCATATTTAATTTGTCTATAAGACTGCATGATTATACACTTTATCACCTGTATCCTGTACACTGACAAATATATACAATTGTGCTTTATTTAGCTAGACAAATTTTGTATTTCCAGGTGTTTATGAATATGTCCCAGACGAAGATGGCCAAGGCGACCGATTGCAAATAAACGCACAAAACTGCATCCACTGCAAGACCTGCGATATCAAGGATCCTACTCAAAATATCAATTGGGTAGTGCCCGAACCTGGTGGTGGGCCAGCTTACAATGGCATGTGAATACGCTCCCTATCCATGCATGTACATGGTTGTGTGTAGTACTGCTCTGCTGCTACTGCCTCTATCCATTTCATATGTAATTATAATTTTATTTTGCTTTAATCTCAAGATCATATTAGTAAAAAAATGGACAGTTTTTATTACATATATTTTGAGCTATTATTAAAAAAAAAAAAAAAATTTTGCTTAGCGGTGTTTAAATGGAGTTGACACAGTGTGGGGGTTGTTGGGTATACACTGTCTACATTGATAATATACGAGTATAATGCCAATTCAAATTTATCTTATACTATTGATTTGTATTTTATTAGAATTAATTTTCGCAATATGTATATTATGATGAAATATATTATTGTAATATTATAATATATATATAATAATACATATAAATTGTACTGTATCTTTAGTGTCTATTATGTAATAACTTACATATTTATAAAATCACTACTGGTATGGTTTAATTTCTTATCTGGTATTACCTTATGATAGTTAAATTGTCATTCATTAAGAACTATTACATGATATATATCATAATTTAAATAATTTTCTCCTTATTTATGTGTGTTATTAAATATTATTTATTTATTTTTTTGTTAAATAGATTGGATACACCTACAAATGAGTGGAATCAAGTTATCATATTTACTCAAAAAATATGCATACTCAATTGCTTTAGCGACCGACAGTTTATTCCAACATCGTCCATTGTACATATATTATATATTACACATATTGAATTATTTACTGTTAGGTTTGCGAATAACATAAGACAAAAATTTATATTTATATTTTTATTATTGTTGAAATTTATTATTGTCTTAAAAAGCAAATGCGGTTAAATAGTTGGGTGAAGATAAAATTGGTTAATTTATTTTTCATGCCCACTTAAATGCATATCTATATTTTGTTAAATTTTTAAAATATGTTTTATGTTTTATGATTATATTTTACATTTAATGTGATATGATGTTATTGTTTATTATATAAATTAATAATTATGATGACATTTTATCTACTAATGTGTTTTGATAATTATTTGTAGATATTAGACATTAAAATATCATTTATTTTTATATAACAAATATCCGATGCACATATTTCCTTTTCAATTTTAAGCGATAAAGCACTTCAACATTTTCCATCTCTGATGCATTTAGAATTAAAAAGCTCTAACCTGGTAAAATCTGGATGAGATCACATTTGAAAATCTGCTAAAAGTTGGGATACATACAGTTGTTAGGAATTATTCAAACTATCAAATGTAATAAATATCCCAATAAAATCCTTCCTCACAATATTTGTTGATTGTCAGAAGTCTGTAATCCCGGTTCTGAAAATGAAGCATTATAACCTGTACTAGGAAGCAAGAAACATATCGACAAAAATCACGATCGCCAAATACTGCTATAGTGCTGAATTCTAATAACCAGTATAATATAAAATATTATACTTCTACAATAAGCATTGCTCCTCTTTAATTTAATTAATGAACTGAAAATTAAAAGTGATATTTGAAATATTTTTTCGATCCCTGATCCTTAGACAATGTGTTCGCGCTAAGAGATATCATTAAATATTTCAATTTTATGACGTTGTATTGTGATTTTCAGGGAATAAAAGGGAGTACCAAAATACACAATTTTAGTCAAATTTCAAAATTTTCACTTGTACCCACATTCACAATACAACTTACTTTTTTTTTAAGGAAACACTATTTTTTTCTACAAATTCGAATAGAGTATTTTTTAAAACAATTTTCGTATAAAAAATTGAAGTATGTTGAAGACATAATTTATTTAATGAATGATAGTAGGGGTAAAATTTCTAAACGAAAACTTTAAATTATTGAATACATTCTTTATTGAATTAATTTATTGTTTGATAGCTAACCTGCTGGCCAGTAGCGGAACCAATGCTTAATTTTTTTTTTTTTTGGGGGGGGGGGCAAAAGAGGAAAAAAATGAACAGCACTAGTTTAGTTCAATATTAGTCTAAGGCTGGTAACTTCTTGGAGTTTGCATATTTTTCAATAATCATTCAAAACATAGTTATGTCATATAGACATTTGTTTCGTAGTCATACAAGATTATTTACAATTTTTAGTTGCATATTTTGCATATTAAATTTTTTTTCATTTTTAAGTGCATATATGACCAATTTTGATACAAATATGTAAGTTTTAAAAATATTTAATAAAAAATTATAGAGACAATTATTTGTTACTACAAGTTTTTTTTACTATAAATAAAAATTTATATATATATGAGACTTGGTTTAAATTTTTAAATAAACATCATAAAGCAAAAACCAATATTTATTAAATAATTTAAAGTTTAAACAACAAACTCTAAACGCCGCTTCGTCTTATTTGCAAAGTGGTCTATCACTAACTGTATTAGTGGCGTAGCCAATGGTGGGGCTAAGGGGCTGCAGCCCTCCAAAATATTAGAAATATTAAGAAAATTTAAAAATTATTTTAATGATCCATAAAATTCGCTACAAAAGTCTTGAAAAAATTGATCAATATTGCAGGTTATTTTTGTTGGGTATAAGATAAATTTATATATATATATTTGATTATTACGCAATAAAGACAGCTAAAGTATTTGTTTTACATTATTCTTGATTTTATTTACCGGAAAATAACCATACAATTTTGTTACATAAATCTCTTATGATTGAAAATGTGTTACTTTTAATAGGACTTCTAGATTAAGAAGCAAGGAACAAAGATATCAAAAAAATACTTTGAACTTAATACTAGACAAATATCACGAGTTAAAACTATGAAGGACTTATTCAATAATTTATCAATATATTCAGATTCTTACATATCTAGTTTTTGTAAAACATATGAAAGAAAAGGTATTCCATTAAGTTTTGAAGCAAAACAGTTTGAAAATTAAACTACTGAGGAAAAATCTGATGACATTTAATCATCGTTATTTATATCTTATATTCGATTTCCAATTTATAATATTTAATAGTTTGTATTTCATAACTTGTATACTATGATAAAAAAAAAACATTTGTATTTATTTATAATATGATATTTTCATTTGTTCATTGCACTGAAGGATAGTTAGTTAAAAATTTACAAGTCAATAGATCACAATAAATAACCTTAAAAACGTATATATTGACCTATAAAAATATGATTTTGTACAGTTTGGGTAAACCTAATTTTTTGGAAATCTAGCCCACTATGCGTATTAACTGAAAATTGTTCAACGATCGATATTATATTTTTTATATTTTTTATTTTGTATCTTTAACTATGACCTCGATGTTTATGGAATAATAACTAACTAAATACAATTAATTTCAAACACATTCAATAAAAATATTGAAAATACCTCAGTCACTATATTATAAAGCACATAGGAAAAACTTATTTACAAACAGTTTATATATGTAGTATTACTTATATATTATATAATAGTTTACAAATATGTTTGATGTTTTATTTTTGTTTTAGTACATTTAACAATAACTATCTGCTTACATAATAATCTTGTATTTTAGTATTTTATCTATGTAAGCAAAGAAACATTAAACAAAGTTTAAGCCAGACTCAATATACATTATATTATAAACATTATTTAAAATAAATTATGTTGATTCGCATCATGTATCTACATACAATATTCAATTCAATGAGCATTAAATATTAATTTTCTTATAAAAAAAATTGATTGAAAAAATTGATTCGTAATAAAATACAAATTATATCTAGTGCATTATATACAACATTGAGGTAACATTAAATGAAAGATAAATGTCTAAAATTGGGTTGAAACAATATAAAAAATGATTTAATGCCATTTAAATAAATTAAATTTGAATATATTTTCGTGTATGGCTCAAATTAAAATATTATTTACCATCAATATTCGCAAGATTGTCCATAGCAACGGATTATTTATATTATTTATTATTCTTTTGATCCTTCACTCTTATTTTAGCCTTTAACCTATAAACATACAATCCATTATTTTTTGAAAACATTTTTTTTATTTTATGAAAAATATTATGGACACTTATACTACGAATAAATATTCGGATAGCGTATTGTAAGTATTAATTTAGAATGTTATTGGAATAATATTTAGAAAGTACATTTTGTAAAACATAAATACAGCGCAATTAGTCTAAAATTATGTCTAAGACGGAGTCGAGATAATACAGAAGCCAGTCTTCTAGATCTTGTATGTTCAGCACTAAACCAGACTCAAATTGTCTATTGTTTTCAATGGCATGGCCAGAAAAATATTTTTGAGGGGTTTTAAATTTTCAACTCCGATATTAGTAACAATTTTTTAATTTTAACAAGTTGATTAAACATAAGTTAAAATATAAAATTTTTTATTATTTAATTTATTGAAACTGAAAATTGTTATATATAAAATACTTATTTCTTAAAAGTATTATATATTTTACAAGATTAGAGAAACTTTTAGGGGAGGAGGTCATAATCCGTAACCCTCCTCTGGTTATGCCATTGATTGCACTGTATTAATTAATTAATTGAATATCATATATATGGTTTTATAAAAAATTGATTTTGCCATTTTTAAAAAAATAATTATTGTAATTGTAAATAACTTAAAACTAATCATCTATTGCATCGGTTCCCAACCTTGGGTACGCATACCCCAAAGAATACGTGAAATCAGAGGTGGTATTAGGGAATCTGGATCCCCTCAAAGGTTACGCGTTTAGGTTGTGATGTATTATATTTTATATATTTTGTTTAGTAACTAAAATGCCATGCTATGCTTTTTTGCTTAATGTAAGAATTAAATTTTAAGTCGTTAAGTAACAAATTATTAATGAGTTAAACATTGTTTGTCTTCATATATTATAAGATAATGTAAAAGGACAACCCCCAGTAGGTAAAAAAAAAAAGGTTAAGAACCGATGATCTATTGCGTTCACAAGTAGTCGTCTAGCACGCGTCTCAATTATGTCTATATACTATAATCGTACCATGGTCAGTGCTGGATTAAGGGCCGATACCACCCTGGAGCAAACAATGTTTGCCCCTCCACCTCAAAGAAATAAAGTTTAAGTGAAACCAAAAAAAAAATTCCTGTTATTATTTATAACGCTAGAAAAATTTCAATCCGTTTTCATTAACCGTTTTTTTATATTCTCTTGCCGATCACATTAAACAATAATATTTGAATAAAAAATTCTACATATCATGGTCCGAAGGCAAAATTAACAACCAATCACGGGCGAAGCTGTGACGGGTCGGCTAGTTATAAAATATAGGTCAAATGTAATAAATAATCTATATAAACCAGTGGCGTACCCAGGATTCATTTAACGGGGGTGTTTTAAAATTTAATAGACTTATGGTAAGTGGGGGTTCTCCCCTTCCCGTATTACATTAATGAATACCATGCATTTATTTAAATTATTATATAAATGAAAACGATTATATTAAGACTGTACAGGTATATGTAAAATATACAAGTTGTATACAACTAACAACTAACAACTATTAACGTTTCTTCAAATTACGCTGTAAGTTTGCAATCTGATGAAATACCATAAAATACGACCGAGAGGGTTCTAACACCCACATCACCTCCCTTAATACGCCCCTGACTTAAACTAAAAGTATAATTAGTTATATAAT